ATAGTATTTTTTGCTGATGATACCTCTTTAATTTTCAAATTCAAACGGCAGTCATTTAATTATGATGATCTATCGAAATTAGTTCATTGGTTTAACGCCAACAATTTGCTCTTAAACGGCAATAAGACAAAATGTATTAAATTTACAATAAGTAATGTTAAACATTCAAATACCAGTGTGTTCTTAAATGGGGAGGAGGTGAGTCTTGTGGATACCACTGTTTTGCTTGGTATTACTATTGACGCGAAGCTTTAATGGGGCGAAGCTATAATAATAAAAATAAATAATATATCTAAATTAGCAAGCAGTCTTAGTTCTGCAGCATATGCTGTAAGAAAGATTAGAAGTCCCACAGATGTTGAAACAGTTAAATTAGTTTATTTTAGTTACTTTCATAGCGTAATGTTTTATGGAATTTCGCTATGGGGTAATGCGACTGGTATTGAAGTCATATTTGTTTTGCAAAAGAGAGCCGTACGGGCGATTTATAACTTAAATTGTAGAGAGTCCCAGAGAAAAATTTAATTATCATATTTTAATATTCATAACTTTGGCAACACAATATATTAATGAAAATGTAATGTATGTACATACAAACATAAATAGCTTTAATAAGAATAAGGATGGTCATACTTTAACCACTAGGAACAAACATAAGCTTATAATGCCAGTTACTAGTAAGTAATTCATTTAGGGGGAAATATATATACGATTTTACAACAAAATCCCAGAACATGTTCAAAGTTTGTCAATAAACAAGTTTAAAAGTTTTATTAAAGAAAAACAGTACAATAATCGTTATTATAATATCAAGGAATACATGAATGAAAATAACCCCTGGGAATGAGGTGATCGTCACCACGCTAGTTCCATGAAAATTCATTTAAAAATTTGTACAAAAAAATTATTGTAAAGTGAAATATGCTTAAAAAAAGTCCCGCTGGGTTTCTTGCTGGTTCTTCCCAGGACAGAGGTATTTTTCGAACCATGGTAAATAAAAAACCGGCCATGTGCGTTAATACGTTGCTTCGTACCAAATTTTAAGATTCTGAGTTCACGGGAAGTATCCTGTAGGTTTTCATTCCCTTGCGAATATCGAAAATTTGCGGCATTAACGGCTGTATCTTTTGGTTTTTTCACAGCTCCAAGGGACAGTAGACTTGAGTATTTGATATGAATTTCAGCTTGACACCTCCACGCGTTCCTGAGAAAAAGGGTCTTGACAGACAGACAGATGGACAACAAAGTGATCCTAAGGGTTCCGCTTTTCCTTTTGAGGTACGAAACCCTAAAAATGACTTTCAATAAACCTAGCAAGCTAACAGCATAGCAAAGTGGCGAAGCAATCAGCTTTGTAGCGGTTTCTAACGGTTGCCGTTGAGCAATCAGTTTCAAAATAGGAGGTTCAGATGCCTGGGTGATCAGTAATCGATTGCTGAAAACAGAATTTGAAAATTCGAAACCGTTCTCGAGATAATCATGGGACAGACGGACAGACGGACACACGGACAGACGGACAGACATCGTGATATCAATAAGTGACTTCGCAAGCTTCGCCACTTAATAAGTATTATGAGATAATCAATATTGAATAAAAAAGCATTCTTTTTTTTTGGAGTTTATGGCCTGGCATCTAGACCTTTAGGCCAAAAAAAAGCATTCCATTCTATCTTTGTATAGAAAAATAAATTATTACGTGGAATACAGATAAAATATAATGTTATGATATTATTATCTCTAGGAAATGTTTTTATGACAATCCTTGCACATATTTTTAGCGACGACAGCCTTGTAGGTATTTTACGGTATAACGAAGGAGTTGACTCACTATTAGCATTTATTACACATATGGTAATATTGTGGGGAAAATATCTTGATATGTGAATAATTCGAGAGCACTCATTGTCTGCTATCTCTTTGTCGGCAGAGTGATGTAGGCTACAGTGAGCAGCTTGTCGGCAACACGGCGGTACTCAGTGGCAGACTGCCGGATGGAGCCTGCATAACAAATTATGGGCTCTATCCCAAATATGATTTAAATATTTTCGGAATGTATACCCCAAGTGGGTTTGACAAATAATATGAGTTTATGTATATAATTCGCGAGACAAAATAAACGTGTTTTATAATTTATTAGTTTTATATCGATTATGATTCCGAGAGGTTTGATTTCATTTCAAAACTATATTGTGTGACCGGACAAATTGCAGCACTCGTCTGGCAGCCTTGATGGTAAACGTTATAGCCTGTGTTTCAGCGGGCGCGAAAGACGTCTGTATCGCCCTTCCCCATTTCATCGTAACGACAAGCACATAGTCGGCGTTCTGCTCGAGCTCTTTCGATCCTCTATTAAGGCCAGAAGCAGAATGTCATCGGCGGACGCCTGGATCGAACAACCCTTCGACATACTTTTATCCAATAGCTTGTTAACCATCAAGTTCCATAGAAATTTATTACAGACTCCTGTAAGTACACCCTTGTTATTGTTTTTGCTGGCAGAGCATTCATTTAATAATTCGTTCGTAACATTGTATTACAGTCTGTGTGGAGTAGCGTGCCTTAGAGGGGCCCTGTATCAACTTTTTTCAATTTGTCGGGGGGGCCCAAATAAAGGGTAAAAATTTATCACAAAAGGAACAAAAACTCTCGCATTGAATTAATATAATTAAATATTGATTATAAGTTATTACTTACAATTAATAACCCTAGGAACTAAGCTAGCCAAAACAATTCAAACCAATATCCTGTCCCATAGAAGTTCTTAGAATTTTTGTTCACATACGTTCGGGGCCCCTGTAGCCCGGGGGCCCCGTATCATTGATATGTCTGATACGGCGGTAGCTACGCCCCTGATTGTAGACTAAACTTGACTAATGGCCTGCCATTACGCAAGTTTAGTCTGGTGGTCCGCCACCAGACGCAATCGAAACAAACAAATGTAAATGATAACTGAGTTGTGAGCTACGCTTTACTCCATATACAAGTATATGACTACAAAGGTGAAAACTCAGATCGTTTCCTGGTTGTATACAACTGTTATGCAACTACGCTCAACATACTGACTTCATTAGGCCATAGGTCATTTCCTTATTGATGAGTACAATAACGATACAACATGTCTTAAAAACATTTAAAAATGTACCTAATGCATGTTTGTTTTGGCATCATAGTTATAAAGCTATATTTGCCGGAGTTAGGTGCTACGCTAGCTCGTATGCATTGTCGGATTTCTTCATCATGAATTTCCATCCACCTGACATCCTTTCTGGTCTTCGGTATGTTTATGCGGTACTCATCTCTAACAACGCAACGCAAAGAATAGAGAAAGTTGCCACATGAAAGGTTGCTTTCATCTTAAAGCAACCTTATTGCAGATTCTATATACAATTCTTGCTCAAGCTATGAGGGTGGGTCAAAAAGTTCCCGGAGTGCATGGGTTAAAGAGGGGATGGGTACTACTTGGTGATACAACTATAAATACCAAGTTTAAGCAGATCCGTTCATTAACCTTTGAGATATCACAGGATAAACAAGTCAATCGAGAAAGAAAAACACTAACTATAAAGAAAATTTAATTTCGTGCCGTGATTAAGTTCCTCACTAAGCAAGCAAAAAACGCCACATATCATTATGGAAGAGATGTCATCTGTATACTCACCCTAGAAAAGCAATGATTTAAAAGTGGCATAGCCTTTTAAAACAAGGCAGAGACAAAATTGAAGACAATCATTGCTTAGACCTACCGATTGAGGCAACTTTCTCATACATTGTCATAAAAGTTGTTCTTCAAGATGCTTGTCTGAAGAAAAACCAGATCGCAGAAATGACTGGAGTAACAACTAATAATGTTTTAAATATCTTCCGTCTCTATCACCATAACCATCTTAGCATGTCTAAGGTCAATGCAAGATGGGTACCAAGAATGCTCACACAGGTTCAGAAACAGCACCGGGTAGAGAATTCATATGAGTTTATGGACCTGTATAGTGAGAACAGGCATGAAATTATGAACCATATAGTGATTGGGGATGAAACTTGGGTTCATCACTATGAACCTGAGTCTAAGCAGGAGTTCATGCAGTGCAGAATACAAAAAACACAGCACCACCTTTTTTATGCCACTGCATGGGTTGTTTTATACCAATCAATGAAGAAACTGCCTTAATCCATTGTTTCATTGGTTGTTGTTTATTGTGTGTTAAGTTCAGTTTTGGTTTTAGGCATACTTTCCTTAGTAGAGTATTCCGTCGTAGTTAGATAGGAGACTTTAATTGGTGTAAAAGATTTTTTATTCATTTACTTATTCATAACAGCCTAAGAAAAGTTGACTGCTGAAAATAGGCTTCCCCCTTAGATTGTTATTTATATACATATATTTACCATAGTTGCCACCCTTGCAGTTATCTCCTTTCCTTTTGTTATCTCTAGCAATGCCCAAGGGATGATATTATAATATAGTGGAACCTTAATCACCTCTACAAGGCAATGTTTTTATTATTAATTGTAAATTACACATGATGTGGACGACATAGTGAAATCAATCATATTTTGGTGAGATGCAAGAATTATTGCTCTAATGTAATATTTAGCACTCAAAAAATACTCATTAAACAATTTATATACACATACTATCTTTTGTAGGAATGCCTTCATTGTAACATAAAATCTATTTGTAAAGTGTATCAAATATCATTATCTATCCAATTTATTTGTCCATTAATAATTGTTGATTGTAGAACATAATAGTTTTATTGGATTGGTGAACTATCAAATCAAATGACATTACATCACAAACCTATAAATTTTGAAGCAATTACTAATGGTAATTGTCTCAAATTTTAATCTACTATCTACCATAAACTTTACACATAAATGTTTATGGTAGATAATACTTACAATGCTTATCTCATGTCATAAGTTGCCATAACCATGGAGACCATGACGTTATATTAAATTGAATATATACAATACAAACATAGTGAAAAGTTATATGTACTTACAGAACAAAATTTGATGTGCTATCATCCATCCTTGTTTTAACAGCATGGAAACTTCAAGAAGAATAATAAATATCAAGTCTTTCGTCAAAGACTGTCGTAGTTCACACTTCACGGTTTAAAATAGTACAGAACCTGTTATTATTTAAAACATAGGCATGAAACACACAACGCAAACCGCAAAACACCGTAGTTGGAGGATTGATCTATGCAAAACACAAAACAATTTATTCAAGAAAACTGATGTACAAGCAAATAGCAAAATAAATCTTATTTACACAACTTACACTAGTGACAGATTGACAGATGAACCTAAAATGTCACTGTCAAGAAGTGTTGCGTTTTGATATTGCTATCAAAGTATTTATAATCACTTTGAAATATATAACACAATATTAAAAAACCGGCCAAGTGTGAGTCGGACTCGCACACCGAGGGTTCCGAACAAATCCGTAGGTATATAAGTATATAATTAATAAAAATAGTTTTATTATATGATGTAACTAAAAATTTATGCTTTTCGCAATTTTTCCTTTGTTTGTGCTATAAAACGTTGCTTCGTACCAAATTTCAAGATTCTGATTTCACGGGAAGTACCCTGTAGGTTTTGATTCCCTTGCGTATGTCGAAAATTTGCCACATAAATGCTGTATCTTTTGATAACGTTAGCTTAGAAGTTTGATTTTTTTCACAGCTCCAATGGACAGTAGACTTGAGTATTTGATATGAATTTCGCCTGGATACCTCCACGCGTTCCTGAGAAAAAGGGTTTTAACAGACAGACAGACAGACGGACGGACAACAAAGTGATCCTATTAGGGTTCCGTTTTTTCCTTTTGAGGTACGGAACCCTAAAAACTACATTATAATAAAGTAACTAAAACTAAAAACATAAATACATACAAAACAATACTGTGTGCAACGACAGAATTCGTTGGATTGGTTGAAGGGGACCATCGCTACCCTAGACCTTAAATCCAACACCTCGTTAGTTATCAAATACAATCGAAGATACTACAAATACTGAAATTTGGTATCCTTATCCCAGACGCTCAGGGGGCCTGGAACGACTCCCACGATATTGGACGCGTGTTGGCGTACCAAAACCGCTGGGTGAACATAGGGAATGGTTGCAGCACAGGGCCGATAAGGAGATGGAAGGGTGGTTCCTCATTGCTTTGGTGCCGGAGGATCTACCGTGGCACCAGTGCTGCAGAAACAGCTCGAAGGATTAATGATGTGTACGGCGCTGGTGTCGCAAAAGAAAGCACGGTACGTTTTTGGTTTCTACGTTTTCGTTCTGGAAATTTTGACCTTCAGAACCAACCCCGCGGACGAAAGTGGAAAATGAAGAATTAAAGGCTATTGTGGAATCGAATCCTTCACAAAACACTTCAGAGATAGCTGCAGGCTTCGGGGTAAGTGATAAAACTCTATTAATCCACTTGAAGCAAATCGGGAAAGTAAAAAAAACTTGAACGACGAACCTCATGAATTGAGGAATCGAACTTGCAAACACGTTCCGACTGCTGGGTTACTTTGCTCAACCAACTCAATAATGAAAGGATTTTAAATCGAATCATTACTTGTGATAAAAAAGTGGATACTGTACGATAATCGGAAGCGCTCGTCGCAATGGCTGAACCCTGGAGATCCAGCCAAATCCTGCCCTAAACGAAATTTGACTCAGAAAAAGTTACTTGTGTTTGGTGGACTAGCGCCGGTGTCGTTCACTACAGCTTTCTAAAATCTGGCCAAACGATTACGGCAGATATTTATTGTCAGCAACTGAAAACCATGAAGGAAGAACTAGCTGCTAAACAACCGAGATTGGCCAATCGTTCCAGGCCACTGCTGCTTCACGACAACGCAAGACTACACACTGCACAACAAACAACCACTAAGTTCGATGAGCTACAATTGGAATGTCTGCGACATCCACCGTACTTCCCGGACTTTGCTCCAACAGATTACCATTTTTTTTTCGGAATTTGGACAACTTCTTACAAGGAAAAAAACTCAACTCCGATGCGCCTTCAGAGTATATTGATTCTCGTCCCCATGGTTTTTTTTAGTAAAAGGATCAATGAACTACCTATGAGATGACAAAAGTGCATAGATAACAACGGTGCATACCTACTTTGATTAATTAAATGTATTTACAAAAAAAAATATGACTTTATATTCCTCCCGTACAAAACGCCAATTTCATATGTACCTAAGGACCTAATATATTGTACCTAACTAAACTTGATACTTGCTCAGTCCAACATTGGAAGAAAGACAGAGCGCTGCGTACATTTTGCGTGAAGCTGAAACCATGCTTAACTTCTTTACATGCACTTACATATTATACATCTTTTTTTCTTTATCACTCCGTAAAAGTTTACTGATGGATGCATACATGGGCATCCATTAACATCATTTGCAACCATTAACATGGTTTTGGGTATGCACCCAATGGTTGCAAGTGATTTTATATGCATACCTATACGTGAGTGCGTATTCTTGCAATAAGGTTAGCATGGTTTTGGCTTGGATTTTACGTGCCTTGAACTGTACACAGCGCTCCATTATTCTTTTTTTTTATTGGTTTAAGGATACTTGAAGTATTATTAATTTTACAATTTTACAATTAAGTAAAGTTAGTTGGCGAATCTTTACAATCGCATGTAGTACTTGCATGGTAATAATGTTCATATTATTTGTAAATGTGGGAGCGGGGTGCGTTTTCAGCATTATTACAAAATAATTTGGTATACCACGAGCACGACTGGGCTAGCGGCTGTATTACCGTACATGTACATGTACCGATTTTATGTGTATGTGTGAGTAAGGAATTAATTAAAAAAAAAAATCAAAAATAAAATAGGTATGTTTGCTTTTACACGTTATTTTATCGGTGTCTTTATTCGTATGTGACCTTTGATATCTTAGATTCATATATCTCACGTATCAATTATCTAGCTCTAGAAGTAAGCAGTTACTGTAGAATTTTACTAAAAGTCCCTCCATGTTTTCCTTCCAGAACACGTCATCTCTTTTTATGAATTCAAATTCAATTTTAGTAATTTGACCAGTTCGTAAATGGCCCTGAACTTTTTAGTAGGACTTGATTTTTGTGTTGACTGTGAAAACGTCAGATTTGTACAACCAAAAGTCAATTTTATTTTATTTGATTGCTTCTTAAGGTTCCATATTATAATCGGATCAATGAGCCTATTCGCCGTCTGGGCTAGCACCCAGAAATGACAATTTGTGGTATATGTAAACTACGGTCATATATGTTAACATTTAACGCCCTAATTCTCGGGACGCTTAACGTTCGTAGTTCTTGTTATTATTTATAGATGACATCGTAGCCACTCAGTAATTGCCTGACAAGGAGAGAACAGTTGGTATTTTCAAGACGCTTGCAAACTCTGGCAAACCATGAAGCTGTCAACTTGTCTTCTAGTTTTAAAGAGCGAGTTTGCACTCTGTAAAACAGTGATCTTTTCAGTATAGTTTTTTTTTTTCTAGGGACTTCACCAACTGTAATATAAATTCAAGTAGTATTTATAAGCATAGTTCCTTAGTCTGACATAGACCTTTTACATGTTGAACCCACAAAATTTCTTAAATGATATAATCATTACAGCCCTTCACAAGTCCACTGCTGAACATAGGCCTCCTCCAAGGAATGCCACAAAGCACGATCCTAAGCCTACTGCATGATATAATATGTGATCTGATAGCTCAATTCCTTTGTTTTCTGATCGGGGACATGTAACAGAATATTTGTTTTTGTTTTTTTTTTTAATTTTTCACTCCACAGTACAGGACATCTTTACGGTGTTGGTCACCAATTGTCGCAGGTGTCCGAGGAAGCATAGTAGCTTGTCGTATGAACGTTTACTGTTGTAGCCGTATGAACGTTTACTGAACATGCGTCTGTAATTACATCTATCATTGGTATTTCTTGAAACAACACATTTCCGATGAGTTTTATATGCTCGACCTCTTCTTTACTAGCCTCAACCATACACAATGATCCACCGTTTGTTCCCATCTCTGTAAACTTAATTACGCGTTGTTTCATAAAACCGCAGAGGAAAGGTGGATATATCCAGCACCAATAGATATAGTTCCTGCTATAACTTCCTGATTCAAGCCCATTTTATTATCGCCTTAAAGCACTTTTTAGAGCTCTAAATAATACTCAACACCCATTTTGCAAAGAAGTTTATCATTTTAATGAAGGCCAGCTCTCTTTGTTTATTAATACTGCTGCTCAAGAAATTTCAATAATTCGCAGACACAAAATAAACAAAATCTGATTACATTAAATATTAGCTACTATAAGATAAATTTACCAAACTTTTAACTAAACTCTCTTAAATTTTTTTCGTTTTAGCTTACTGAAGATCTTGCCATTTAGATAATGGGATACTACTGAGATGGACTGACTTATGGAACTTTGCGCAGATTCACCTTCAGTCTAACCGTTGTTTGCAAGTTGTTTGGAGCAAGTAATCTAAGAATGACATTTTGCAAATGTGTCACATTATCAATACAGTATAGTTAAACAGAAGCGACAATATTTTTTTTATTTCGTCCTGCATATTCGGTACCATACAAGCTTTAACTTTAACTGATTTAGTAGTCTCTACGTCTTGCTTGTTTAAGAAGATAGGATACAGCAATGGCAATTTCTGTCGACCTACGTCTACTTTCTATTTCAGGCAACGTGAAGCAATAACAGTCCACCTGTTGGTTAATGGATGCTGTGGCCCATATACTATATATCTATCCTCAATTAGGAATTGAAACACGGATGTGTTGTCACGGCTAAAGATTAAGATGGGATGCCTCATTTCCAGTAAATTTCCGGTTATCTACACTCACCGTATGGATCATAGCGAGCACCATTAAGCTGATATTTTACTCTAGTATTCGGTGAGAGCATGGTCCCGCCCCGGTCGAGTCGGCCAATTTATGCTGCAGCCAAAATATTTTTATTTATAGAAGAGAGGGCAAACGAGCATGCGTCTCACCTGATGGTAAGTGACTACCGCCGCCCATGAACAACCGCAACACCAGGGGAATTGCAGATGCGTTGCCGGCCTTTTAGAAAGGTGTAAGCTCTTTTCTTGAAGGTCATTAAGTCGTATCGGTCCGGTAAAATCGCCGGTAGTAAAAAATTTGACAGAGAAGTTGTACGAGAAAAAACTCCTAGTAAAACGCACAGTCGTGGACCGCCACGCATCCAGATGGTGAGGATGATATCGTGAATTTTGACGCTATGTGCGTTCGTGAAAT